AGAGAGAGAGAGAGAGAGAGAGAGAGAGCGAGCAGGGGGAAGGGGCTATGTGTGACTATGTATGGCCTACCCTTTCCGAGATCCCCGTTTCCTCCTCTGTAAGATGGGGGCAATTCTAGCTGCTTACTTGGTTCACACTGGGAGAAGCCCACCCGGGCATCTGTCTGTGGGGAACTCTCTGCCCGTTCTGGGGGGATGCCGCGAACAGCCACCAGATCTGGTTCTTTGGCTCTTTGAGGATGTCTGTCCTGTTCCCTGTGTCCTGCCCCCTCCAAATAACCATGTGATGATGAAGCGGTCTATTGAGGATGTAACTCATGATGTAACTCATCCGTGCCACCAACCTGCTTTCCTTATATGCCCTGAGTAAGCTTGAGATTATCCTTTAAGGGGCATCTTAATCCCCATGCTCTAAATGTAGAAACTAGGGACCCAGAGGTCCGTGGACACAGCTGGAAAGTGGCAGAGCTGAATTCCGAACTCAGATCTGTGGTACCTGAGAGCTGTCCTCTGTCTTCCCGGGCCTCAGTTCCCCTCCTGAACAAAGTGGGCAGGGCAGAATGTTCTAGGGGCCTCCTGGCTCTAACACCCTGCCTCTTCATGTGCCTGTGGGAAGGGTGGACATGTAGGGCTGGTTTGCATCCTCGGACGAGGTGACAGTCTCGGTGAGGAGGGGAGCCTACGGGGGCTGGGGGGTGGGAGAAGCCCCTGGGACTGCTCTCCTTCCTGCCTGCCGGCCCTGACTCTCCTTCCTGCCCGCCCCGTCTCACCCCTGTAGCATTTCTGAAGGGCCTGAGCGACAAGCAGCGAGAGGAACATTACTTCTGCAGGGACTTCGTCAGGCTGAAGAAGATCCCGACGTGGAAGGAGACAGCGAAAGGTAGGCCCTGCGCCAGGGACCCCTGGCTACTTGGCGGGGGCCTGTTCAGCCCAGGTGGGGGGAGCGTCGTACCGACCGCGCCAGGACGGCCAGCCGCGTGCGTCAAGCGCTCGCTATGTGTGGGGCACGGTGCGTGCATCACCTCCCTTAATTATGAGCACAGTCTGAGGCAGGTTCCGTTTTTATCCGCATTGTGCTGTTGGGAAACTGAGCCCCGGACCGCCCGCCCGCCCGCACGGTTGTCAGGAGCCGGGATTTGACGCAGAGGGATAGTGGCCTGCCTTGGGGCACGCTGGCGAGCGTCCAGGCCCTGCAAATTGCACGCCCGGCCACCGCTAACCCGGGGCACCCGGGGAACCGGTAGGCGGTCACCCGCCTAGGCCTCAGTTTCCACGTCTGTAAAATGGGGATGAGTGAAATTAATAGTGCACCTGTGTTTAACCTTGCAAAAATTCAAGGACACCAAGCATGTGCCTCACACGAGAGGTGCTTAATCATCGTGGGTGGCCGTGACCAGTGTCCTCAGTCACCACGCTGCAGGCTGCCTCCGGAGGTGGTGGGGGTGGGGGAGTGGGGTCGACGGAGGCACCGGTGGGTCCCTCTGTAGTGCGGGCCTCTCTCCGACCCCCCACCCCTTGGCCTCTGCTTGTCCAGGGGTGACCGCGAAGGTGGAGGAGCCAAAGTACAAGAAGGATAAGCACCTGAACGAGAAGATCTCCCTGTTCCGAGGCGATATCACCAAGCTGGAGGTGGACGCCATCGTCAACGCCGGTGAGTGGGGGCTTCTGGCTGGCCCGCGCCC